CAGTAATTAATCTCCAGGCTAATTATGAGCTCTGTTGTCATTTTGCTAGATATAATTAAACTGCATAGCTGGAGAAAGTTGGGGAACTATGGTTTCCAAGAAAACTCTTCCCTGTAACTTGGCAAGGAGCTCAAGAGTGACAACATAATCAGCCAATTAAATATAAGCTGGAAGCCTGATGTCCTTCAGGATGAGTTTACGTGAAGAAGACAAATGTATGTTCACAAGAGGCACCTGCTGTTTTCCTGCTGCCTTTTTGGAAAGAGCTTGGAGTATTCTAGAGGTTTTCTCTCATTAATCCTTTTGATAGCTTTATTAAACAGGAAGCAGAACAAACATTTTAGTCCCTTTCAAACAGATGAGATGATTAACATCGTGAAGGTCAACTGTCTTGTCAAAGAGCATAGTGACCATGGGTCAGAAGAAATTTCAGTAATGTATTTCCTTTAAAAATGTGATGATTGTCTACATAGATTCCTATAGCAACCATCAAATACATGATTATACTAGCATAAAGATATGAATTGGTGAATAAATTCTTTAAGTCTTTTGGGGCCAAGGTTCTGTTCCATTTTTTTAGTCTAGGGTAAGGAGGTACAGACCCTAACAAAGGTGGGTGTTGCTGAATCACACTGGCCTTGGCCTTGCTCAGAAGGGCCACTTTGAATAGATGAGGAAGAAGGTACATCTGGTCCATATTTCCATAAAGATCAGCCCTGGTGACCTGTTTGGCAAATAAGTTGCAGGCTTCCAATGCCTGACATAGGTAGAAAGACATATCGTACTTTGTTATTTTAAATAGGTTTTAATGCTTTACTAGATCTCTGAGCAGACTCTTTGCCTTGGTGTGCACAGAATGCATGGTCAAGGAGAAAGCATTTAAAGCATGGGACAGCTACTCTAGTTGCTGTGTTTCCAAAAGCATATGTGGGTGTGTATATGGGCTCCACCAGTGATACTCAAGAACTCAGGATGATTTGGGGAGGTACATTGACTCATATAGGTAGAGCTTTATATTGTTGGATATTTTTCATAGTTTTATTTATGGCAAGGGATTTCCATTTAAAAGAGTAAGGAATAAAAATTTCCTTTTGAAAATTTATCAAAGTAAAACTGTGACCCATATAATTGTTAAATAAATAATGATATGGGTAATGTGTGGGTAGAGACACAATTATGAAGGTGGCACTCGAATGACTAAGGTTTAGGTCGCAGGGGCCTCTATCCATTCTCTCCTACTCCTGGTAAGAGATTTATCTTCTTGATTCCTTTGCCTCAATAGTAATTCCATTTTGTTAAAGGTGGGTCAGATAAGAAAACTAATGTGTTGTACCATTAAGTCACAAATATGTATTCCGTTGCTATTGCAATAACGAAAAAATAAGGAAAACCACACTCAAACTCTGCCTTGAGTCTCCGAATTAATTTTAGTGCCCAGTCATTTGACTAACAAAAGTTTGGGTCTTACAAACATATGACTTAGTGCCTATAATAATCACAGATTATGATTATTCCCCGAGAGTGTTTATTCTTTCCCTGCTATGCTGAAAACAGACAGACATGATAAAAAATCTGTTTCTTCCTAACCAGGGACAAACTAAATGGCAAGAGATCCAGCCACAAATACCTGCAAACCATTTCTTGAGGGTGGAGAAAGTCTCAACTTTCAAATTGATTTACCTTGATAGATAGCCTCTTAATCTGTATGTCTAGAGTGAAAATATCAAGTGTATCCTTTTATACAAACTGTTTCTATTCAATCATTTTTTTTTTGTTCATGACTAGATTCATTTCAGCCCTACTGCTCCTCATGGTTTGAACAGTTTATCATGTCAAATCGTGCTTTCTCTGGTCGGGTATTATATCAGTAAATCGCTGTTAATGATTGCCCTGTAGCAGTTTTTTTCATATAAAACACACTCTACCTTTGGTACAATTAGGGAATGCCTAAGAGTGGAAATGATGGAGAAATTAGGAACATATAAACTTTTGGAGATAATGTACTCCGAATTAGTTCGGAGTGGCCAACTTTTAAAATAGTGTGATCGGGTACAGATAAGGTTTGTAGCCCCTCTTACCTTGCATGTCCCCCTGTCCCCGTGCTTACGAGATTGTATGGAAAATTTTGGCTCACCTGGGCGTCTTCAGTCTGTGAGTTCCTTAGGAGCAAGAGACATATTCATTTTTGTATCCTATTTCCTAGCACAGTGCTTGTAGGAACTAAAAATTACTTCTGAATGAATAAGTGAAAAGTTATGACTTTCTAATTATCTTAAATGAATCATTTCCAAGTAAAAACGGACTTTCGCAAGGAGTTGGGCAAGTGGCACGAATTCTGACATGCCAGGATGGACACGTGAGGCCATTTGTCTGTGATACTGTAGGTGTAGCTTTTCTTGGAGGCATGTGGCTGGACTTGAAGTCTTCTTGAAACTTGTTCTAGTTGCTGGTTAAAGTAAGAACTACTCAAAGCTTTTAATGCATTAATTAAAATTTGTTTAAAGTAGTATAATAATGAAAATTAAGTCATTTAAGAAAAAAAACGGATGCATTTTTAAAGGTTCCTCTGCCTTGCAAATATAATGAATTATCAAAGGTTACATGTATTTTATAGACACTGTTTTTATAGCACTAATTGACTTTCTTTTGAAGCACTGGTATATTGTTGCCAATTCAGATCATTCCATAGTTCAAATAAGAGGTCCCTTTTCCTCATGGCTTTTTAGGGAAGTCTTTGAAAGTAATACATGAAAATCTGATTAATATATAGTCTAGTTTCCATAATTGTATCTGTTGTGATTCAAGGACTGATTTAAGATTTCTATTTCATTTCATTTTTCTTGTTTTGTGGCAATCACAGACAGTTAGCCATGTTTACCTTCTGATACCTATGACACAATTTTCATATCACAGAAGGCAGAACTCACCTTACCAAGCCCTCAGGATTGTTTACTGATTATAGACTCAGTTAATTCTTCTCAAACAGTGCAAACAGTCAAGGTCAGCTCCTTTTTGTTGATTTATTTCCAAGAGGCCTCGTAGGATACTGCCCACCTCTGTAGCTCCATTTCACAATTTATCTTGGCTGTGTTTCCCTTCACACATCGTATTTATCATCATTTCACTTATCCCAGACTTACTAATCAATACATCAATTAACAAATATTTGCTGAGTTCTTTTTGTGGTGGCACATGATATTTATCTTGCCCAGGAGACTTTCCTATGGTAACTACACTTAGGTTTCCCTTTGGGGCATCTCTCCCTACAGCTCTCAGTTATGTGCTGCTTCAGCACGAGCTCCAGCAGTGGGCACATGACTCAGACTGGCCAATCAGTGTACTCCATTTCTCTGGCCCCAGTGACTTGTGTGGTGATGGGCACACGACATAAGACAGTCCATTAGGAAGAGAAGCTTTCTTTCTCCCAGGGTTACTAACCAGGTGCAGTATTTCTGGGGCTATCTTTTTTTTTTTTTTTTTTTTTTGCGGTACACGGGCTTTTCACTGCCGTGGCCTCTCCTGTTGCGGGGCACAGGCTCCCAACGTGCAGGCTCAGCGGCCATGGCTCATGGGCTCAGCCGCTCCGCGGCATGTGGGATTCTCCCGGACCGGGGCACGAACCAGTGTCCCCTGCCTCGGCAGGCGGACTCTCAACCACTGCGCCACCAGGGAAGCCTCTGGGGCTATCTTTAATCCACTATTAGAGGATCTTTGAAGAATGAAGCCAATATAGAGAAAAACAGACCCAAGGAATGGAGGAAGAAATTCTTATGTCCTCTTTAAAAAGCCTGATCCGGGCTTCCCTGGTGGCGCAGTTGTTGAGAGTCCGCCTGCCGATGCAGGGTACACGGGTTCGTGCCCCAGTCCGGGAGGATCCCACATGCCGTGGAGTGGCTGGGCCCGTGAACCATGGCCGCTGAGCCTGTGCGTCCGGAGCCTGTGCTCCGCAACGGGAGAGGCCACAACAGTGAGAAGCCCGCGTACCAAAAAAAACCCAAAGACAAACAAAAAAGCCTGATCCAATTGTGCCTGAAGCTGATATCAGGCTACACGTGTACCTTACGATATACACTATTTCTGTCCTTCACTAAAAAGGACGACTGATTAAAATACTCACATGTGCAAAGATTCTGAAAAATAGAAATTTCTGGTTTCCAAGGGTTTACAGTAGATCAGAAAGAACAAAATATAATCATATCAAGTTAGCATTACTCTTCAAAAGTATGCTATTTTTTCTCTCTATCCCTGAAATTACATCAGGATTGTTTGCATATATTCCTTTCTTCAAAGATAGATTGCCGAGAAGAGAGCCTGGTCTTCCGTTCACCTTTTTCTTAATATCTAGCAAAGTGCTTGTACATGGAAAATATTCAATAAATTTTTACTGAATTTATCTGAAAAGGCAACTAATGGTACTCAGGGGTTTATGGTAAATGCCAAATGAGTAGTTTAGATCATGACATCCTATTGTTTTATGTTAAATCGCATTTTTTGTCCTCTGGGCCAGGTCTTCTTTCAGATTGCTACCACTAGATGATTTGTGTTTTGTTTTGCTTTCTTGAGCAAAGCCATGGCTCAATACTAGACAGAGGCAGCTATGTGGGGATAGAAGGGGAATTGAGAAAGCCTCCAGGGATTT